ATGTCTTTAATAAAAGCTCCTGTGAATGGCAAAACCAGGCTGGAACCTATGGATTTTTTTTTCCTGAGGCCTCAGTGGTCAGCAGGGCTCAAACTTGAACAGAATTCGATCGTAGTAGTTTTTGTTGGTTTTAATTGGACATCTGAATTTTTACTTCAGGATTCTTGTTTTGTTTTGTTTGGTATTCTGATTTGGAATCATTTAAGTAAAGCAGTACTGTATAGAATCGGCCAGAATCCAAGGGATGATTGTATCAATGGAACTTCTCCCACCAGTAGAACTGGGAAATAGTTCTCTTTCTCTACTGTGGCCTCATGCTTTTACCCATAGCTTCTTCCAGCAGACTGAGAAGCCCTCCAAAGCCAGTTTTCAAGTGGTAGTGAGGGATAAAGGAGGTAGGGAAGCAGTGTCAAGTGCCAGATTTTGTACACCTAATTGCCTACAGTATAACTGTGTAAAGTTCTAAAGTCCTGTGCAGTGCAATTAGCCTTTCTGGTATTTAACTGAGGATGAGCCTCTGGAGTACCAGCCAATATCTTATGTGTAAATTGGTATTCAAAAGCAATGTCACTCTTATTCTAAAAACTAGTACACTGATGTATCTCCACTTAACAGATGCTGAGGCCAGAGGCTGGGAGTTCGATTCTCCCCTGTGCCTCCTGCAAGTAAAGCCAGCTTTTGCGGCTTTGGGCAAGCTGCACAGACCCAGGGCACCCCCATAAGAAGGGAATGGTAAACCACTTCTAAGTAACCTTTACCTGGAAGACCCTGAAAAGGGTCAGCATAAGTCAGAATTGACTTGATGGCACACGATTATTATTACAATGAAATAACAACAGAGTTGTTTGATCCAAAACAAAGTTGAATTCAATCATGACTTCAGAACTTATACACATTCTTTTTTGAAAAACAACTCTCAGAATTCTTCAGCCATTAGTGGCCATGCTGAATGGAGGATTATGGGTGCCATAGTCTGAAAAGGAACATTCACAAACTCTGTACCTAAGGGCTCTCGCAGACATAGCGTTTGGTTCACCTAAACATGTAGATGATATGTACATTGTTCTTACTGGAACTGTCCCCAGCATCCTACCTTACTTCATTATAGTTTTCCCCTACCCTTAATTATTGCCCTTAATTATTTTTATGTCCCTTCAAAAACAGGGGCAGGGAGAGGGTATAGTTCAATTTTACACTGCTGAAGTCTGTGCCTCTATTTGCTGGGATGCATGTCCCTGGCAGTTCTGTGCTATTGTTGGGTTTGTCTTCAAAGAAATATGCATTGTGGGGGTGATCTCACTTTACATTTCTGTAATCTTCCTCCTTCCTCCTTTGTCTTCAGGGTGCTAATACAACACAGAGGCACTTTCACATTAGGATCTTTGCAGTAAAGCAAGCAAGCAAGCAAACAAAAACAGATAATATAGGAAAATACCCCACCAAAAAATCAAGACAAAATGAAGAAATGAATTAAAAATCCAAAGTTAAGTTAATGGACATGCCCCCAAACAGGTCACTGAGATAGTGGGAGGGAAACTATAATATTGAAGCTCTTTAGTGTTAGACTGTGAACAGTTTAAAAGTGAAAACAAAAGGAAGCCTACAGGAGTGCAGAGGAAAGGAAAAGAACTACAAGTCTAACCATAAGTTAAAGGACACACCCCAACACACCCCAAAAGAAATCCATTGAGATGGTGGGAAAGAAACAAAGTGGGATAAAACTGATGATGTAAGAGCATTCAAGCCTTTAGATTGTGCATTTACAGTTACAGCTCAAAAATCATGCTAGACATTTTCAAAGAATTATTTAATACCCAATAACATGTAAAGAACTCCTTGCATTAAGCTAGTTTTTATTGAGTAGAATTATAGATTGGATAGTAATTTACTGTGACTTACCAAAAATTGTTGAGCTGATTGTTTTGTACACGATTTGGAGTCAATCAACATCAATTGTTGAGGAACAACTGAAATGAAAAATCATGCGGAGATTTGTACTGATGTGGGAGTAAGGAACTTCAAGTCAGGAACGAGTTGAAATAATAATTTCAGAACATTTAGTAACCTGCTGACAGACATTCACTTACCACTATGTGTAGCTCTGCTGATTTATATTCTTTTGAGATTACATTATTTTATTTATCAGTTCACCTTCAATGAATCCATTATTGAAACATTTCAGACAGTACTTCTCTCTATGTTCTTTCTAACTGTGTTCCTCCTAGCAGAAGATAATAACACTTTTGTTTAAAGGAAAAGGCTATGTTTAAAGCAATATCCTAAAATTGAAGCAATTTTTACACATTAATCACCACCTCCTTTCTCAAAACATGGGCATATTGGTGTACCCTAACTTACATTGCAAGTTAAAAGAAGAGACAAACACTGTAATTTTGTAGAGAAAAATGGGGTGAAGAAACCTCTCTCTTACATACTACTAAACCCATTAAAAATAAAAAGACTTTGTTTTTCCAAATAGAGATTAATCGGACTGGCTGAATGAAGGCTATATAAGTGAGGATAGGCGTGTGGTACAGATTTGCTGTTTCTAGATGTTGGTGCTATCAAAACCTGTGTTTCATTTCAGTTCTTCTATACCATTCATGATGTACTATATAGAAGGTGAAAGATCCAGGGGATTATGCTGTAGCATTTACTTGGGGTGGAATTTAAGGTACCAAAATGGTGCAATGGTGTTTTGATGAGGAGGTTTGATCCATGGCCTAAATTTATTTACTTTTTGGAGTGTGGCTTCAACTGCAACTTGATGCTTTAAACCAGTGGTTCTTAACCTTTGTTACTCAGGTGTTTTTGAACTGCAACTCCCAGAAACCCCAGCCAGCACAGTTGATGGTGAAGGCTTCTGGGAGTTGCAGTCCAAAAACATCTGAGTAACAAAGGTTAAGAACCAGTGCTTTAAACCAAAGTATTTTTCTGTTCAGGGTATTTCCATGTTGTTTTTTAAACACAGGACCATATAGACATCAGGGCTGGGCAAAGGACATCTGCATACTGATTATCTAAATTAAGAGGGGAGTGGGAATTTAAACCATCTTAATAATAAATAAAGCAAACAGACAACAGCAAGGTGACACAGGACTTGCCAACTTCTCCCAAACCATTATAGCTGGATCTGCAAGGAAACGATGCCACTGTTCCAAAGAGAGGGAGTCACCTTTAAAGAGACATGTCCTGCATGCCTGCATAAACACAAATCTGTTCTCCTGCCCATGAGCAATTGTTGGTTGCCCAACATTTTGCTTGAGGAAACACATTATATCGGTGAGATCATATCTTTGTCAGCTCTTGAGCTGGAGCTCATGAACAAGGTGAGCAAATGGGTGTTTTGCATGGGATTGGTGGAACAGACAAAAGGGAGTGAGGCTGTGCCTCTTGGCTTGAGATAAACTGTTTGTCTGAGCTGATTGTGGTTTGTGGCTCTTCATCTGATTACAGCTATGTAATGATCTTCAAGCATATGGTGCTGGGCAGGGGAGACTTATAGACTGGCACCAGGGTATGACTAACCCTTCAAATTTGTGGAGACCCACTGCTATCCCCATCATGAACCACCCTCATCCCAGGTGGAAGGGGTATGGTTGAAAGGGAGTGAGTCATTGACTTGATTTGGGGAGGAGCTAGCAGCTGCCAGGTCTTTAGGTACACTCAGAGTCTCTGCCAATTCATGATCATGGGGTGGTGATGATTAACTAATAAAACTGCATTTATATACTGCCTCTCCACTGAAAGATAGCTGTCAAGGTGGCTTTCAACCTTCTTAACATTAAAAAAGCAGATGAAAACATCTGTTGGTATTTAGCACAAGAATTTGAGGCAGAGGCTAGGAGTGTTGTATAGTAGTAGTAGACATCCTTCAGTCTCGAAAGACTATGGTAACGTGCTGTGTATGGAGGTCTTGGAACAACATCTAGTGTGGCTGAGAAGGCCAATTTGAGAGTGACAATCTCTTCTAAATCTTCATCTAGACAGTCATTCCCAACCTTGGGTCCACAGATGTTCTTGGACTAAAACTCCCAGAAGCTTTCACCATTAGCTGTGCTGGCCAGGATATCCAGGTGTTGTAGTCCAAGAATATCTGGGTTACCCAAGTTTGAGAACCATTGATTAGAAAGTGGTGCCGGGGAAAGGGTGAAAACTCATCCCAAGGCCCTATAGCACTAACAGGGATCACTCACCTCCCCATGGCTGATAATAAATACAGTACTTTAAAAAAGAGCTATGGACCAACTCATTCACAGATGCCATGTCTTATTTAATTTAACCAGCATTGCCAGTTGATTGGGAACAACCCCTAAGGCAAAAATAGATGAAATAGTTTGCCCAAGGTAAATGAGGAAGCTATGAGAGGCCAAGAAATCCAAATCTAAATCTCACATTTCCGCTACAAATCCTGGAACAATGAATGATTCTTCTTAAAATAGAAATGGGAAAGTAACAAAGGAAAAGAGTCAACAGAAGAAAAATGAAAAGAAAACAAATTGACAACAGTTTTGCAGCATCTGACTCAGATTAATAGCAGCCTAAAGCAACAAGGAGACAGTTGTGGGTTTTTCTTCTTCTTTTGAATAAGAATGGTAAATGCATAAAATCTTTCTTTTATTTTTGCTACAAAGGTTAAATATTGTACCAGCATTAAGATAATTTACTACCAGAAATAAATGAAAGATAAAGATGCAGTGTTACAAAATGTTGAAAGCTGAGCTGTACAAAAAAGAAACAACATTCTTCTGGGAAATGACACCGCTGGATTTTCCACAATGATGTACAATTCAGTAGTGGGAGCATTTGCTGAGCTGGGTAGGACAGGAAGGAGAGAGAGAGAGAGAGAGAGAGAGAGAGAGAGAGAGAATTAAAGGAGGGGGATTGTTTTTACAAGAGCTGGAAACAAATATTAACAGTTCAGGAACCTTAAATCTGAACCAGACAGTAAATAAAAGTATTTTGTCAATAAAATTTTCAAATACATTTTTCTTCTGCAGATTTTTATCAGCTCACAAGAACAAGAATTTAAGGAGCTCCAGGCTGGACATCTACAGTACATTAAGTAAATAAATAACGAATTGCTGAAATGAGGATTGGCTTCTACTAATTGCAAGTACACTTTTTGTTTGTGGGATGTTGCTACCAGGCCTGCCCTTTCCTTCTGTAACACATTCTGTTCCTCAAAAGTCATTCCTGTTTGTCAGGAGACATCTCTTCTCCACCTTGGCGTTAGCCACCATTCATGTTGCTTGTTCAACAGGATGTTGAGTCTCATCTATGGTGATGTAATAAACAGGGGAGAAGTAAGAAATGTCAGCTTGTCATTGGCTTCTGTCTATTAATACCCAGTTTGCTATTCACCCAAGATCAGTCTCTCCTCCTCTACCCCTAACCTGGGAGAAAGCTCATTGTGAGGTTATATGCAAGTCAGTCAATTAAAGATGGGAGGGAAGAAATGAGGGAATGAGAGACCTTGCTAGAATTCTAGACTTGCTTATGACATTGGCCTAAGGAGCAAGTAAGAATTCTAGTGAAGGATTGGAGAAAGGGCGGCCTGCAGGCCAAGCATGCATCCTAAGGGGAACCTTTGTCATCACTCTCAGGGCCGGCCACCCCCCATGGATAGATTTTCTGATGACTAAAACACCTTACTCAGGGAAGATCACTGGAAGAGGGGGGAGCCCATACCATCACTCTTGATCATTTTCTGTTCATCCTGCTTTAAATACCCAATGAGTACCTTTTAACCAGATTATTAGCATACAAGAAAACTGGCTCAAGAATCTTCCATCGCTCAACAGGTTGTAAAACCATTTTGAGGACAAAGGATACCATTTGTAGAAAGGAGCAGGCTTGTTGGCTTGGTTCAGCCTGATCCGTTGTCCTTGCAGGTTCTGATTAGGACTGGATAGTGAGTCTGAGAGTGGATGTGGCTTAATTCCTGAATGGGACAGGCTCATATCTGCTGTACTGCAGCCAAAATTGTGCTCACAACCCAGGGTTAAATCCCAGGTAGCCATCTCAAGGTTGACTCAGCCTTCTATCCTTCCAAGTACCCAGCTCACAGGGGGGGGGGAGGGCAATATGTAGCCTGCATAGTTAACTTGCAAACTGCCCAGAGAGTGCTTTAAATGCTATGGGGCAGTATATAAGCAGCACACTTTGCTTTTGCTTTGCTTTTTTGTTTTTTGTTTCATGTGTTCCATGCAGAAATAACAATGAGGGACAAGGAAGCCAGTAGCCTCTAGCATCATGCAGTGAATGTTGAGGACGATGATGACAGCGTTCTGGCTGTTTCTCATGAGCTGCCCAGATCAGGACTGGATCAAGACACCACCTTGCTTGATGTAGAACAACAAATGAAGTCTCTGTCCAACCATTAAACTTATCCAAACTAAGGAAGTTACTGTGGCACCTGGAGCAGAGAATCCCAAAATTTCATCCTTGGCTGTAAACATGATAAATAAAATAACAAACAATTTGCTGTCTGTTCATAACATTCAAATGCACTTCCTAAAACTGTTGCCTCACTTGTCTAATGATTGGGCTGGCCCTGCCCCAGGTATTTCCTTTTGTTGGAGGAAAGAACCATCCAGGCTCTTGTGAACTAGCCTGTCTGAGGGCACTGTTTGGATCTCTGAGGGCACTGTTTGGATTTAAGAAAAGAAAAGAAAGTTCCACAAGTGTTTCTGTTTAGAACGATCCCTCCTCCCCCTTTAAACGCTGTTGTGCACCTTTGTGGCCCAGCAGTATCCTCTTGTTTGGCATGCTCTTTAGCTGGGAGATAGCAGCCTCCAGCAGCTGCAGATTCTGAGGGAAAGTTTGAGAGAGAAAATGAGGGAAGAATGAGGGAAGGAAAGTAGGGAGCAGGGAAGGAAGAAAATAAAGAGGGAGAGGAGCGATGTAATTTTTCCCCCTTTGCAGATGATCAGGGAAGCACTTAATTGACAGTGGATTGGTCTATAAGGGGTACTTTGCTGTTCAGGCAGGAGGTGCACACCAAATGGCACATCACTCCCATTCCCCCCACCCCCATTTGTAGCCCAATCCAGAACGGGCAGTCTGGACAAACCCTTATTATATCAAGTGTTGTGGACTCAGCTGCTCCTCCAGAGAGCACCTCTAAATGGAGTGGAGACAGAGTCCTCTTGTCCTTTATCTCAACAACCAAAATGTTTGGAGACTTCAATGATAATAGCCTAATTAGGGAGGGGAATAATGATTAGTACTGATAATGAATGTTCATAATAATTCTATTCCTGCCTGGCAACCACTTGGTAGAATATGATCATAGCAAAACCTATCAGTACTAAAACAGAACAAGGAATCAACCTGTCCAACAGCATGTGTGGTTTTGTTACTAGAGAAAATATTTAGTGGGCCATATGTATTTTTTGAGCATGCAACAAACTTTAACATGCCAACCATTCAGCTACTTTTAGCTCCAGCTCTGAATATCCACTTCTGTTATTCTCTGTGGATAGTGTCCTACTTTCAAATTGCAGTGGCTTTCAATCTTTGTAGCTTTTTCAATGCCCATTTTACTTTCCCATCTGTCCTCCATTCCCCTTATTTTACTCTCTGTACTCTCTATTTTGTCACTCAGAAGGTTAAAACCATACTAATCTGTGGCTTGTCTAATCTGTGATGTTTCTTAATGGCACCTTTAAAATCTGTGCTGGATTTCTGTGTTAATGATGTGGGTGACATCAGCCATACTCTGACCTTGCATCTCCTGGGAACTGTGGTGGTATGAAAAAGAGGGACGGAATATTCAAAAAAAAAAAAAAAAAAAGAGGATAAGGAGAATCATGAACAGAGGTTAAACAGGTGGCTATGAAAGAACATGCAGAAACATTATCTGAATAACATCTTTTGATGGCATCTTTTTTTTTTTTTTACATTTACCTCCTTAAAAGCTAAGGCATGCTAAAAAGAAATTCTCCAAAACCTAGGAAAATGTTGGTTTTTGGACTAAAGCTCCAGGAATCGCTCAACCAGAATCCTTCATGGCCTCTCGAAAAAGGTTTTTTTAAGCTCTAAATTTGTGCAGATTTTCATTTTTAGTCCATTCTATTTAACTCCACAAAAGAATCCATCCCAAGCTTATTATTTAAATGTTTATCATTTTGTTTTTATTACAAGCATTGATGAACCCCTCTTGAAGTGGTGCTCCATATGGAAATCAATACAAAACATATACCACAAAAATTAATAAATACATAAGGAGTAAATAAATACATAAGGGGTGGTGCCAATGACAGTCGACCCATCAAAATGAATGGGGCTTGTTACAAATAATTGCAGTTCCATTGTTTTCAATAGGTATAATCCATTTGAGATTGGATAGAACTTTGAAATTAGTTAAAAAATAAATAAAACTCCCAGAATCTCTAGCCAGCATGGCCATGGATTCAATAAACATTCAGTAAAACAGGAATTGCCAAGAAAAACGTGTGCCTGCAAATAAGAAAAAATCCAGTGGAAACAAAACAAAAATATATTGTTTAGCCAAGAGCTGCATTGCAAAATTTGGAAAAGTTCAAAGTCCAGAGGATATATTAGCTAGGGAAGTACAGACAAGGCTGGTTCATTTTGAAATGCAGACCAAGTGAAATCCTTGAGCATCTCTACATAAAACCTATGCTGAGCAGCAGAGATACCTCAGAAATACTTGCTGAACTGGTGGTTTCCACGTTCTCTTGAGATAGTTTGACAATTATGATGAAGGTTCAGCCTGTTGTGATTATAGCCAGCAGGAGATTTAGAAATACATATTTGAAATAAACAGATACATATTTTTCCTTCTTTAAAGGAAACCATGGAAAGCATATAAATGACTTTCCAAACTGCGACATCTGGATAAAACCAGGTATATTACTCATTCTGTATGCAGTGCAGTTCATACATCAGAGAAGGAAGTTCAAAATGTTTGGCCAGCTTCCAAGCAACTGCAATTAAGTCCCCTTGCATTTCTTCCCACCCCACCCCAAGAGCATTGCTCTAATTACACATTCAAAACAGAGAGCTGCAGGTGATGTGTGAAGCAACAAAATGACACATTCAAGTCATTATATTTTTATAATTACACTAGAAATAATGTCCTGGAGCATCAAGAAGATGCTGTTATTGGCAGTCTCCCTATTATTGAGCTCCTGCAGAAATGTGTGCTGAATGACAATTAAGTCCTATGTAGTGTCACTGTTCTTCTTACAAGCCAGCCAGAAATCAGGTGGAAACCATTAGTGTTTTTCTCAACATCAGTATCATTCCATGAGACAAGATTATTAAAAATGAGTTAAACCTACTGTATGTTGCCAGGAATTCTAATACACTGGGTGTGAATATCATTCTGCATAATGTGCAGAAGGCAAGCTGGTAATGAAATCATAATGATTCCAGGTATTTTTAACATGTACCACTCAGGATCAAATGAATCAATATGCCCAGCTTGTATTTAGAAATGGTTCTCCCTTAAGTAGTGGAAGGCATCTGTTTATCTCAGTGTGAGCTTCTTTTACTCCTGTATCTCGCATGTGATAAATAAATAAATAAATAAATGTGTGCTTTGTTTTGTCAATCACATTCTTTAGCTCTGTGACACAATAACAGGGATACTGGCAAGTCTTTGGGTCTGGGTCCCAAGTTTGAGTCTAGGTCTTTAGTACCAAGGCCCATAACAAGCCCCAAGTCCAGGTCTCTATAAAAAACAAGCTTCCCCCCAACAGAAAAAAGGGAGGGGTGGGTGGGTGGGTTCTGAGTCATGAGTCCAGTCCAAGTAAAAAAAAAAATCATAAACCCGAGTCGAATCACCAGTGTGACTTAAGTCTGACTTGATAGCAAGTCCCACGACTCGAGTTCCCATCCTTGCTCAATAAAGTTAAGAACGCTGGCATAGTTGACCAGTTTGGGGAGGTTATGTAGGGTACTCTAGAAGTAAACTCAAACATCAAGATTAATATCAACTTGCCAGACTGAAATGACACAAGGTACTGGGAAATCAATGAGCTGGGTGAAGTGCGGTAGAGCCCAAGCAAGGGCAGGTCTTCTGGAAGACATTTTGGTACCCAAGACAAGACAAGAAAGTGTGCCATACGTTCCATATGCAGAAGCCACCTAGACTTGTACTGTAGTTGAACCATACCTCAGAACAGGCCCAATGGGGGAGGATCATCCCCCACTCCTGAGCTTTGAGAGGGTATGATAAGCTGTATGGAATCCACAGCTTTACCCCCAACAAGAAGGAAATGGTCTGGGGGCTCAATAGGAACTGTTTCGGTATTGCCACTTGTGCCCTTGCCAAAGCATCTACAACTGGAGGTAGTTGCCTAACTCTGTTTAAAGGTAGGGCCAGATTGTGTAGGAGTATCAAAATCATACGTAGAAGCTATACGAATAAAATGAGATAAGGCAGATAAAGATAAAAATTGATGCTTGGGAATAAAACATCTGAGGAACAGCTGAAGAATAACATTGCATGGGGTATACTGGCTTTCTCCATATTGAAGCTCTACTGTTCTATGACACATATAGATTCCTTTTTCTTGGTCTTGCTGTTAAATCAAATACAGGAAGAGTTGGTTTTTTTTTTTTCCAGGATTCTTCTATGACTAGGCCTGGGGCAGGGATGAGATCCTCTGCTGAAACTGTTATTGTTGTTACATGCTGTTAAGTCATCTGCAACTTATAGCGACCCCATGAATGAGAGATCTCAAAAATGTCCCATCCTCACCAGTCCTGCTCACCTTTTGTAAACTCAGCCCTGTGTATTTGGTCATCTTATTTTAAAATGTCCCATCCTCACCAGTCCTGCTCAGCTTTTGTAAACTCAGCCCTATGGCTTCCTTGATTGAGTCAATCCATCTTGTATTTGGTCATTATTACTGATGCCTTCAACCTTTTCCAGCATTATTTTCTTTTTCCAAATAATCTTGCCTTCTCATGATATGCCCAGCCTCAGTTTCATTATTGTCGCCTCCAGAGATAGTTCAGGCCTGATTTAGTCTGGGATCCATTTGCTCAACTTTCTGAGAGTACAGGATGTCCATAAAGCTCTCTTCCAGTACCATATTTCAAACAAATGCATTTTTTCCTGTCCACTTTGTTTAACTATTCAGCTTTCACATCTATGCATGGTGATCAGGAACACAAGAGTCTGAATAATCTTGGCCTTGGTCTCCAGTGACACATCCTTTTCTAATTGCCTCATTGCTGCTCTTCTCAGTCTCAGTCTTCTCCCGATTTCTTGGTTGTAGTCTTCATTTGATGATTGAACCAAAATAAACAAAATCTTTCACTATTTCAATTCCTTTAATTTTAACATTAAAGTTGTGTAAACATGATTTGTGTCTTCTTGATGTTACACTGCAGT